TTGAATAGACCGTAGCATAGTGTAAACATACCATTCGTATGCCCTGGAGAACCAGAAAATGTGTGTGACTGACTTTACTCTGATATTCACATGATTGCTGTTGTCTGGAGATAGGCCTGTATATATGCATCATATGTGATATATATTTGTCTCTGTTTGACTATATGAGCAGGGAGAAAAATACCGAAAGATGTATTCTGATTTGTTAATGTAGATGATAGAACTGGAGATTGTTATGGGGTTAAAAAAGGGGGTGAGGCACCCAGATAAGAAGACTGAAAAATACTTATATGATCATTTTTCATTAGTATAAAGTTGTATGTATGTGTCTATGTATAATTTATGTTTTTAAATACATTTTTTTCAAGAAAGAGTTTCTCTTATTTTGTCATCACCCTGTTTATAACTCTTCTGTGGCTTTCTTAACTTCAATACCAGAATTGTGTTTGTCTGATGGTCTGCAAGGGCTGGCTCTGCTTGTATATGCAGCCCAGCTCATGCTACTTTTCTCTTGGCATTACTCCTTCTGCTTCAAAGTCTTCATAATTGTTCTCTTGATGGGGACCAGCCCTGCTCTCCTGGGCATAGTTAACTGCTGCTTGTGCCCTAGAACTTCTTTTAAGGAAAGGAGCTGCCTTCCCTAACCCCTTGTTGCTTTCCTAAGTAAATATTCTTATTGACACCTGATGCTTTAACTTAGCAGCAGTTATAGTTGCAGTTGGGTATTGTCTGATTATTTGTGTAAATTCTGCCTCCCCCAATAGAATGTCATTCTAAGAAGGAAGGGACTGTGTCTGTCTTGTTCTCAAGGATCTTGCTTAGAATAGATGCCCAATGAATATTTCCTGAATGACCGAATAAATGAATCCCATCCTGAATGTGGGACCATGTTGTTCTGAAAGGGGCACTGACCAAGGAGTCAGACGATGTGTATTCTGCTCATTGTGCTGCCATAAACTTGCCGAGAGACATGGAGCAAGATAACGTGCCTCTTGGAGCCTGCTTCCCCACCTGTAAAATGGGGTTAACAACACCTACTGCATATAGATGTGGAGAGGGATAAAAAGGGACACAAGATGATGTGAATGTATAACCAGAGAGATTAAGCATTCAATAAAATCGCCTTTTATTTTTCTTGGTGTCTTTTCACTTCACCAGTGAAATGGGAGTAACCTGACTAAATAATTTTTAGACTTTCTTCCAATTTAAAATTATAGTTGATTCTTGAACAACGTGGCAGTTAGGGGCACCAACCCCTTGGGCAATCAAAAATTTATGTATAACTCTCAACTTCCAAAATCTTAACTGCGAATAGCCTACCAGAAGCCTTACCAATAACATAAACAACACATATTTTCTACGTTATATGCATTATATATTGTATTCTTACACTAAAGTAAACTAGAAAAAAGAACTTATTAAGAAGAGCATAAGGTGTAGAAGAATGAAACTGGATCTTCATCTTTCACCTTATATAAAAATCAACTCAAGATGGATCAAAGACTTAAATCTAAGACCTGAAGCCATAAACATTCTAGAAGGTAACAGCAGAAAAACTCTTATAGCCTTTGGTTTAGGCAAAAGGGTTATGACCAAGAACCCAAAAACAAATGCAACAAAAACAAAGATAAATAGATGGGACTTAATTAAATTAAAAAGCTTCTGCACAAGAGTAGAGACAATCAGCAGAGTAAACACACAACCCACAATGTGGAAGAAGATATTCACAAACTATGCATCTGACAAAGAACTAATATCCAGAATCTACAAGGAACTCAAACAAATCAGCAAAAAAAGCACACAATCCCATCAAAAAGTGGGCTAAAGACATGAATAGACAAATCTCACAAGAAGGTATACAAATGGCCAACAAACATATGAAAAAATGCTCAACATCACTAATGATCAGGGAAATGCAAATCAAAACCACAATGTGATATCCCCTTACTCCTGCAAGAATGGCCATAACTGAAAAATAAAAAGTAACAGATGTTGGCATGGATGTGGTGAAAAGGGAACACTTTTACACCGTTGGTGGGAATGTAAACTAGTACAACCACTGTGGAGATTTCTTAAAGAACTAAAAGTAGAACTACCATTTGATTTGGCCATCCCACTACTGGGTATCTACCCAGAGGAAAAGAAGTAATTTTATGAAAAAGACACTTGCACACAACATCTTTATAGTGGCACAACTTGCAATTACAAAACTATGGAATCAGCATAAATGCCCATCAATCAATGAGTGGAAAAAGGAAATGTGGTGTGTGTATATATATATATATATATCATGGAATATGCCATAAAAACGAACAAAATAATGGCATTCACAGCTACCCGGTTGGAATTGGAGACTGTCATTCTACATGAAGTTACTCTGGAATGGAAAACCAAACATATGTTCTCACTTACAAGTGGGAGCTAAGCTATGTGGACACAGAGACATAAGAATGATCCAATAAACTTTGGGAACTTGGGGGGAAGGCTGGGACAGGGATGAGGGATAAAAGACTACACACTGGGTACAATGTATACTACTCGGGTGAGGGGTGCACCAAAATCTCAGACGTCACATCTAAATAACTTTATCCACACAAAAAAAGAACTTATCCATGTAACCAAACACAATCTTTTCCCCCAGAACTATTGAGATAATAGTAATAAAATAAAAATTAAGAAGAAAAAAGAAAAGCATAAGGAAGAGAATATATTTACTAAGTGAAAGTGGATCATCAAATTATCCTCATTATCTTGGTGTTAAAGCAGGCTAAGGGGGAGGAGGGGTTGGCCTTGCTGTCTCAGCGATGGCAGAGACAAAAGAAAATTTACATCTAAGTGGACCCACGCAGCTCAAACCTGTGTTGTTCAAGGGTCAACTGCACTTTGATTTCTTCTGAGCTGCAGTCTCCGCTTTCTGTACCCTCACTTCCCTCCATCACAAGCTCCATTCCTGATACTTTCTTCCACTGTTCTCAAGCCCAGGAAGCATCAGCTGTCCCTGGGAAAGACAAAAGCCATCTTCATGCCGCCAGGGTATGGCAGTTTATCTCATACCTACTCTTTCACCACCACCCCACCCTCCATCACTCATTGTTTCATTCACATTTATAAGGCATTTTTGCGCCTCCACTATTGTATGTGGTAGACTCTCACCCCTCAAATTCGGTTCTTTTTTGTGTGCCTTCCCACATACTCTGTTGAGTGGGTGAAATAATGCATAATCATCAAAGCAACGGAAAGATGCTGGCGTGTTTTTGAGGGTAGTCCCCCTTAATTAAGGGAGCTAGGTTCTAAAAAGTCCTTGCAAATAAACAAATGGGTGATATGTGCTTCTCTGAAATGACTAACGCAGCTGTCTCCAACTGGCCATTCAGTGTTCTTGATTTCTCTCGTATTCGTTCAGTTACCTAATTGCTACTAGGTAAAAACTTCAGTCAAATTTTAATTAATCTTTAATGTTAACTTAGAATAGCTGCAGTTTTTTGTTTGCTTGCTTGTTGAGACAGGTCTCACTGTCACCCAGGCTGGACTGCAGTGGCACAATCGCAGCTCGCTGCAATCTCCGCCTTACGGGTTCAAGTGATCCTCCTCAGCCTCAGCCTCCCAAGTAGCTGGGACCACAGGTGTGTGCGACCATGCCCAGCTAATTTTTTGTAAAGATGGGGCTTTGCCATTTTACCCAGGTTGGTCTTGAACTCCTGAACTCAAGCGATCTGCCCACCTTGGCCTCCTTCCCAAAGTGCTGGGATTACAGGCATGAACCTCAGTGCCCAGCTGCTGCTGTTCTCTCTTAACAAGAGTCAAGTCTTAGAACAAGATGCCCACTTTGGGGTATCAAAAATACCTCAGTCTTGTGGTTCTAATAAATGTTTAACAACTAGACTGGTTGGAGGGGGAGGGGAGGTTCTGATGTGAAGCATTAGTCAGTTTCTGTGCTGTAACCAGGCATCCCCTAATAGGTCTGGGCAGAGATGCTAACAGTTGGCTCATGAGGGCAGGTGGGCCTAGCTCCAACACACCACTGTACCCAGTCCCCGGTTCTTAATCTTTATCACACCCCCAACTTGCTTCCCAGCCATTGTTTCTGATCTCAGTTAATGACACCTCTCAGTCAGCCAAGAAGGAGACCTAACAGTCCCATCCACATCCCCCACCCTCATCACTGAATCCTTGGACTTCTCTCTCCAGCATCTCCTGAGTCTGTCCCCTTGTCGGTCCCCACCACAAACACCCTGGTCTGGTCTGCTCTGTTTATGGCCTTCATTGCCACAGCATCGACCTTCATTCCGATTTCCCTGCCTCCGTGCTGGCCCCTGCCAGCCACTCTCTACGCTAAAGACAGTCCGCTGCTGACACTTAAATTATGTTAGGTTAGTCTTGGTAAAAACCCTCCTGTAGCTTCCTCTCCATTAGGATCAGTCCAAAGCCTTCGCATTCCTTACTTTACCACACAGAGGCTACGGGCTGGCCTTGGTCTGTCTTGTTCCTCCACAGCCACCCCTCACCTTCCTCGTTCTAGCTGCTAGGAATCACGCGTGTTCCCTCAAGCATACCAAGCTCTTTCTCGATTCAGGGCCTTCGTTTGGAGGTGCTGCGGCCTAACTGCCTTTCATCCTTCAGTGATTTGCACGTTGTGTCAGTTCCAGCATGACTTCTTGGGGAAGCCCTAGACCAGGCAGCTCCCCTTGTGCAGCCCCTGGTGTAGATCCTGCTCCCTGTCTTCTCCACAAGTGGGGCTCCTGGAGGGCCTGGAACAACCCCGTATTCCCAGCATGGCCCATAGTACCTGGCACATGGTTGGTGCTTTGTGAATGTTGAGTCCATTTCTTGGATTTAGGTAGGTCCCAGTTTTCTATGAAAGAGAAAGCTCTGCATAGTCAAACGTTCTTACTTCCTGTGCTTTGTGTCAGCAGTTTGTCGGCTTAGCACAAAAACTACCTGATGAATAATTTCTGCCACTAGTCATGTTGTCTTTTCTAAACATATTTTTTCCCTCCCAGGTTTCATCAGCTGTGGTTCCCAACGAGTTTATGGCATTGTACATGAGAAGGTAACTTTCAGCATAGCAAGCAATGTGCCTTTAAACGAGATCCTGTGGAAAAAACAGAAGGATAAAGTTGCAGAATGGGAAAATTCTGAATTAAGAGCTTTCTCACCTTTCACGAATAGGATTTCTTTAGACCCTGTGTCAGGTGACCTCACTATCTTCAACTTAACATCGTCAGATGAAGACAAGTATGAAATGGAATCGCCAAATATTACCGGCACCAAGACATTCTCTCTTTATGTGCTCGGTGAGTATTCCATAAGTTGATTTGTTTAAAATTACAAATTTCCATGTATTTAGTCTGTTTTCAGAGACTAATACAAATGAATGGTCTAGGAGAAATAAAATAATTTGATGTTACCTGTTGTCAGAGTTTTCTCCTTTTCTGGTGTAGAGGAGCTAGCTACTTTCAATTCCTTTGTCATCCTCTGGGCCAGGGGAGAATCTAACCAAGGTGGGGAGAACAGCATCAGTTGTCTTGCTAGGAACATTCTGCAAAGAGAGGTAGTGACAGCAGTTAGCTTAGAACTCTTCGGGCTCCACTGACAGATGTTACTCCGTAAAGTTCCTGCTTCCCCACACAGTGGGGAGATTGTTTTTCCTCCTATACCATTTTAGTTAATTAATTTATTTATTTTGAGAAGGAGTCTCACTCTGTTACCAAGGCTGGAATGCAGTGGCACGATCCTAGTTCACTGCAGCCTCCACCTCCCAGTTTCAAGCAATTCTACTGTCTCAGCCTCCCAAGTAGCTGGTGTTACAGGTGCACACCAACATGCCCAGCTAATTTTTGTATTTTAGTAGAGACAGGGTTTCACTATGTTGGGCAGGCTGGTCTCAAACTCCTGAGCTCAGGTGATCTACCTGCCTTGGCCTCCCAAAGTGCTGGGATTACAGGCATGAGCCACCGAACCTGGCTCCTGCACTGTTTTAATCTGAAACTAGAGATAAGGGACACATTTCTCCCTGCTTCTCACTAACGCTCCTATCCTGGTCTCTAAAGCCCCTTTTGTGTTGCAGTCTTGTATACGCCCCTGCCTCACATGCCACTGTTTCTTGGTCATTTTAAGTCCTTCCTCATTTTCACTGTTTCTGACATTCCTGCTATATTGGTGGTTGCAATATTTAAATTAAAATTCCTTCTAATATTGTCCTTGATCTCCTCTCCTGTAAGGATTTCGTCCTCTATGTTACCCACTCCCCCTGGATGTAACCGAGAACTCATCCTTATGTCAATGTCAGGTGTCACACTCCGACCACCATGCCGTCCTTGATGATGCTGATGCTGACAGTCCTTCACACCCCTGATGTCCCTGCTGCCCTACTCAGCCTGAGTACTGCTGTCACTCACTGGACTCAGTCCGTTGCAGACACATTTAACTTCCTTGCTCCTTTGTTGGCTTGTCATACTCACGTGGCCAGATTACAACAGGGTTAAATTTGGTGCTTTGCCTATTCTGTGCTCACACCCATGTGGTTGCAGAAAAATACACCACCCTGCAAAGTCTTTAATTTCTAATCACTTACCTCAACTAAGTCTGGTATTTTTTTAGCCTGTCACTTACCTACTCACCTAACAGTTACTTTTTCTCTCCTCAAACCTTGAATCCCTCCTTCTCCCGACCCACTCTTCAGCTGAAGGCTTTGCTTCGTATATCACTGAGGAAAATAAGCAATCAGAGGGCGATTTCCACAAGCTCTCACCACCTGCCTACCTTCTTACCTGTACCTGAGCCTGTAAGCCCTGCTTTCTCTCCTGGTATGATTGAACTTTCTGAGTTCTCACCCGAGGTTAAAGCTTCTGAACATGCCCTGGGTCCCCCCTCCTCTGGACATCCTCGGGAATATCACCCTAGTCTCTCCTGATGAGGATTTCCCCCATAAGCTGATGATTCATTTTCAGCTGCACACATACATGCTGCCATGAAAACGTTCTCATGATCCCTCTACCCCTCCAGCAACCACCACCCGCTCGCTATCTTCACTTTATAGAAAAATCTCCTTGAAGAAATTGTCCATATTCACTTATTCGGACCCCTCATGTTTACTTTTAACCCACTCCATGTAGGCTTTTGTGTGTGCTGCTATGCCACAGCTCCTCTGGACCTCCTTGTTAATAAATCCAGTGGTCCGTTCTCAGTCCATGTCATTCTGGACTTCTCAGCAGCTTTTGACAGGGCTGATCGCTCCCTCCTCTAAGTGCCGTCTTCACCTGATGTCCAGGACACCACCTTATTCATGTTTCTTTCTTTTCTTTCTTTCTTTTTTTTTTTTTCAGAGGGGTTTCACTCTTGTTGCCCAGGCTGGAGTGCAATGGCGCAATCTTGGCTCACTGCAACCTCCGCCTCCTGGGTTCAAGTAATTTTCCTGCCTCAGCCTCCCGAATAGCTGAGATTACAGGCATGTACCACCATGCCTGGCTAATTTGTTGTATTTTTAGTAGAGACGGGGTTTCACCATGTTGGTCAGGCTGATCTCAATCTCCTGACTTCAGGTGATCCACCTGCTTCGCCCTCCCAAAGTGCTGGGATTACAGGTGTGAGCCACCGCGCCCGGCCTCATGTTTCTTTGAAACACTGACTATTCCTTTTCAGTTTATTTTGGTAGTTTCCTCATTTCCCCAATCTCCTAACACTGGAAACATCAAGGCTTAAGCTTTGGGTCTCCTTCCTTTTCTGCCTGCATTCACAGCCAGTGGGTGAGCTCATCCCATGTCAGGACTTTAAATATCATGTCAGTGCTCATAATGCGCAGATTGAGAGCTCTTGCCCAGAGCCACCCCTACCCCATGACCCCAAGCTCCTTATATGTATACCTGGCTGCCTACTCTACGTCTCTACTCAGGTATCTAACTGGCCTTTCAAATATCATATGTCCAAACGTAAACTCATTATCTTCCCCTTAAAACCTGCTCCTCCCCAAATCTTTTCCCTTTTGGTTAATGGCAGCTCCATCCTTTAGTTGGTCAGTCTGAGGAAACCTTGATGCCATCCTTGATACCTCTCTTTTTCTTGAACACCACAGTCACTCCACCAGGAAGTTGTATTGGTTCTACCAGAGTGATCTTTCTAAAACAGAAATCAGATCATGTCACTCATCTGTGTGGAACTTTCCAGTGGCCCCATCTGACTCTGTTAAAGCTAAAATGTGTAAAGCGACCTGCAAGGCTGTGTGAGACCTGACCCAGGGCCCTTTCTATGGAGTTTGTAAAACGAAGTTAAAAACATTTAAAATAAGTTTCTCCTTTTAAACTTGATGAAATGTTTTAAAATAATTGAATTTAAAATAGTCTGGGCCAGGCGTTGTGGCTCAAGCCTATAATCTCAGCACTTTGAGAGGCCAAGGAGGGAGGGTTGCTTAAGCCCAGGAGTTCAAGGCCAGCCTAGGCAACATAGCAAGACCCCATCTCTGTAAAAATAAAAAAATTAACCAGGCATGATGGTGCATGCCTATAGTCCCAGCTACTCAGGAGGCTGAGGTGAGAGGATCCCTTGAGCCCAGAGGGTTGAGGCTGCAGTGAGCCATGATTGCGCCATTGCACTCCAGCTTAGGTGACAGAGCAAGACCCTGCCTCAAAACAAATGAATGAATAAATAAATAATAAATAAAATAAAATATTCTATGGCAACTCAGCAAAGGTATGGTTTTGGTGGTCAGACCAACTGGATAGACCTTAGGAAGCCTGCAAAGGTGAGTTTTGATCAGGAGGCAGTGATATTTATAGTTTTGAGTGCAGGACTTAAAGTCCTGGTTTGAGAGTCTAGACATCCGCTTTTAGCAGTGGGGAGCCATTGTATCCTACATGGAGCAAGGAGGTGACTTGATAAGATACATGTTTGGAGGATTGATGTGATGCTGCATACTTACAATGGATTAGAGAGGAGATGCCACATTAGAAGCTACGATGATCATCCAGGTAGGTAGAGGGTCCAAGAAAGTCTGCAAGATGTAGGTTTTGGTTGTAAGAAGACATAAGATGACTCTGTGTTTCACACCTGCATGGTAAAATGACTGGTCATACTTTTTTATTAAGAAATGAGGAAGTCATACTTCTTGGGGTAATGTTAATGTTTGCTTTAGTAACTTAGTAATCTTATGGAGACACCAAACCCAATAGGAGACTTTCAGCAAGTGTATTTTGGACAGGGGGATTTCCTGGCACTTCTTAAATTCAGGGCATCCACTTCCTTCTGTGTGTTCATTGACATCTGACTTTCCTGTGCACAGAAAAGTCCCCTTAAAATTTCTACTTCTGATGTTTATTAGTCCTTTCCCATCTTTTTATGGATCTTCATCCCATCTCAGATGACAATTTTTATGTAAGTAGAATTGACTGCCCTGTCCTTAACTGGGCTGGATTGGTACTTGACCTTTACTAAAATTCATGAAAATACACACATATTTCTATAAAATATCATCAGATATATGTAAGAAATTCTCATTTTCTTACACAGTATTGAACTCAATTCATTACTTATAAATTGACTAATTGTCTCAGAAAGGAAGTAGGCACATTTCTTGCCAATTTAATGATGCTTAAAGTAGATGTATAACGAATAGTTGTTAGATACAGCTGTGGTAAGTCCCATGGGCAGTAAGAAAATGTGAAAGATGTGCAGAAGAAAAGATCTGAGGTGTAGATCTAGGCATTGAAGAAAGGCTTGCACACTTTTAGATGAGTTGGATAGGCACTTCTACGTTTGTCATCTGGCAACTGTTGTATAATGAGACAGCCAGAAAGAACTTCTATATAGTCAAGGGAGTTCTAGCAACTTAGAAGATAATACTAGGCTGGGCATGGTGGCTCACGCCTATAATTCCAGCACTTTGGGAGGCTGAGGCAGGTGAATCACGAGATTCAGGAGATTGAGACCATCCTGGCCAATATGGTGAAACCCTGTCTCTACTAAAATACAAAAAATTAGCCCGGCATGGTGGTGCATGCCTGTAGTCACAGCTACTCAGGAGGCTGAGGCAAGGGAATCACTTGAACCCAGGAGGCAGAGATTGCAGTGAGCTGAGACCACACCTCTGCGCTCCAGCCTGATGACAGAGCAAGACTTCATCTCAAAAAAAAAAAAAAAAAAAAAAAAATAAAAACAAAAAAAAAAAAAAAAAAAAAAAGATAATACTAATACCGTTTAATGTTTCCCCTCAAGTTACTTTCATATGCTGTTTTTTTTCTTTTTTATGAGCCCTGCATGTGGCATTCAGTCATATTCTCTTTGACCTTTACAATGACCTGATAAAGCATTCCGTTTCACAGATGAAAATAAGATAGTTTAGGATCAAGTAGTCTTTGTAGCAAAACGAAAACAAAAACAAAAGAAACAAAGATAGTTTAGGAGTCGGTTTCTCTATTTGTCGAACAAGAGGCCTGAATGGATGCTTTCTTAAAAGTCTTCCAGCTCCTAAAAGGACTGTGGCCCAAGGTCACATAGCAGGCCAAGGCTGAGGCTGGATCAAAGCTCCCAACTCCTGGTCAGTGATTCCTCTCATCATCTTACATACCCTTTGGGGAGCCTTGGCTTCCTGGAGTTGGAAACTCATAGCCAATGGCCATGTGCTCTATTACACTTACCATTTGTTAAGCTGTTACTCTGTGTAGATACTACATGTTAATTCATATATTGATTATTATCTGTATTAACTCATTTAATTTCATTACAGTCTGATAGAGTAAGTACTATTTGTGGTCCTTATTGTAGAGAGGAGGAAACGTAGACACAAGGTGATTTAAGTAACTTGCCTAATGGCTCTTAGTCATGAAGCTGGGATGAACCCAGGCAGTTGGGCTTCTGAGTCCATGCTAAGCACCATCCTATTCCTCTTTGGAGGTAGCTGGTAGAAGAATTTACATTTTGTTTGAAGACTGTCTCTCAATCTATCCTTCTATACATCTGTCTCCCCATCTGTCCAATACTGCTTGTGAGGAGCGGTGTGCCTTGTATTATGTCAGGTGCTGTGGTTAAAAGGTGAGTCATACCCAGTCTTTATGCTCCAAGATGTACCATCTCTGGGGCTGACTATGTACCTCTGTTCAGTTCAGACAGTGCTGGATGAAAGACTAGACATTGGCGGAGCTAGATCAATACATTAGAATCTGTAACAGAACAAATGGGTCTCACATATCAGAAGCACCTGGGATGGTGGGGCTTGGGAATCTGTGTTTTTAACAAGCACCCTTGGTGATTCTTAGGCACATTAAAATTTGAGAAATGATTTGAAGGACCGTTTCTAAGGAAGTAGAAAGTTTGGTTTGCTTCCCCTGAGAAGTGCCCAGCCTAGTTACAGAGGCAGGCCTAAGTCTATGAAATACAGAGAACAGGCATTTTTGAACTGTTGGGATGCATGGAGTTCTTTGGAAGTCCCATTAAGGGCTGCTATGGAGTGGAGTGGGCAAAAGGGACCAGAGGAAGTTAGGGGAGCAGGGCTCTAGGCTTTCAATTTTGAGTCAGCTAGAGCAGCTTCTTATCCATTGGATTGGATTGCAACTGAAGATTTAATTCGGAGGAATCCCCCTGCTTAAAAGATGATTAAATGTCTTTTTAAGTTAAATAAAACCTTAAGGAAGTATGTAAAGAGTTATGTGAGCTAGATTAAACTTAAAAACTGAGGAAGCCCTGAGAAGAAAGGGAAGTCAGTGTATGACTCTGGTCACCATGGCAATCTGGATACAGTATTTATCTGAGCAAGAAGGAATTCAGGAAAAGAAGAAGATGGGGGAATAATTAAACACTTTTATTTTTCAGATTATAATTGAAGCATAAGCATTAATTTGTTTTAGAAAACATCATTTAAAATGACAACATAGTATTCCATTATCTTGGTGAATCTTAATTTATTTAAATGCTCTTTTTAGTAGATGTTTATAATATATCAATACTTTACTATCCCAGTGCTACCATGACTGTTGTTGTATACTACATATGTTTTTGCATATTTCCTCAAGCTTCTTATGATTAATTGCTGGAGGGTAACTGAGATGCAAGAAGGCATATACATTAACAAATAAGTGACTAATAGTACAAAGTAATTAGCCTTGAGGCTTTTAAAGGGCAACAGTGGCAGAATGTGACATGTTAGCTTTTTAACTCATCCTTGTAGGTCCAGGCTGCCTTAGCCAATAGGAGGCGCCTCCTAGAGGAAGGCTGGGAGCGAGGAAGGCTCTGAACTGGCAGGCCTGTGACACATGCTGCACCCCACTCTGCCTATTAGCAGGGCCAGCCCAACCAATAGGCAGGGCCCAGCAAGGCTCTGTGTAGCTCTACCAGGACCTTTCACAAAATGCTTTGAGTCAGATGTGTTATGGAATTAAAATTATTATTTTATATTTAGGAAAGGTAATACAAGGTATTTCCTCTGCATATTAAGCACCCCACTTAATGATGGGGAGTACCCTGTGGGTCAAGCATAGGAACAAGTATTTATTTCATTCCTACATATTTATTTATTTATTTATTTATTTATTTTTATTTTTATTTTTTTCATTCCTACATATTTAGAGACAAGGTTTCAGTCTGATGTAATCATAGCTCACTGCGTGCAGTGAGCTAGAGTGCAGTGGCACAATCATAACTCACTGCAGCTTCAAGCTATTTGGTTTAAGTAGTCCCAAGTAGCTGAGACTACAGGCAGGAGCCATCATACCTGGCTAATCTTTGACCTTTTTATAAAGGAAGGGCCTCACTATGTTGACCAGGCTGTTCTCAAACTCCTGGCCTGAAGCCATCCTCCTGCCTCAGCCTCCCAAAGTGCTGGGATTACAGCCATGAGCCACTGTGTCCTGCCAAGCACAGTAATATTTTTGTTGTGAAACAATAATGAATATTTGAAGTAAGTGAGAAAATAAAGACTATAAGTCAGCTTTGTGCAGTGGCAGTATCATAGCCAATAAGGTTTATCCGAGGCATGATGATTATTGCTAATTGAAAACTTTTCCCAGCACCCCTCCATGACGACTTGAAATATAGTTAATATAGTTGGCATTGGCAATTTTTGACAGTCTCTATGGAGACTGAATTAAAAAAAAAAAAAAAGACTATAAGTCATTGTGTTAATTCAGGTCAGGTCAGGATTTGCAGCTAAATGATTTTGCTACCAACTTGTGAAGACTCTTTTGGCTTCAGAGCTTTTTTGATTTCAGAATTGAGGATAAAGTATTTGGGGCCTGTATTGATCTGTTTTCACACCGCTATAAAGAATGCCTGAGACTGGGTAATTAATAAAGAAAAGAGGTTTAATTAACTCACAGTTCCACATGGCTGGGGAGGCCTCAGGAAACTTACAATCATGATGGAAGGCAGAGGAGAAGCAAGCACTTTTTTGACAAAGCAGCAGGAGCGAGAAAGAACTGCCACACACTTTTAAACCAACAGATGTCATGAGAACTCACTCACTATCACCAGAATAGCATGGGGAAACCGCCCCCATGGTACAGTCACCTCCCACCAGGTCCCTCCCTTCACACATGGGGATTATAATTCAAGATGAGATTTGGGTGGGGACACAGAGCCAAACCATGTCATAGTCTGAATTTATTCTGTTAAATTTAAACAGGTAGATCTGACCTAGCAAAAGAAAGAATTCTCATCCCTTGATGCTCAAGGAGTTTGATCATCGTTTCCTCATAAGGAAGTTGGGAGCTCTTCATACATTTGCAGATGATGTGTCTAAACATTACTATTTTCTGTACTAAATATTATACTTTTTTTTCCAGAGCATCTTCCATCTCCTAGACCAACTTGTGCATTCACTAATGGAAGCATTGAAGTCCTTTGCAAGATATCGGAGCATTATAACAGCCATCTAGAACTTATAGAGTACTCATGGGATTGTCCTATGGAGCAATGCAAACATAACTCAACCAAAATATATTTTAAGCTGGAAGATGATATTCCACAGACAATACAGTGTACTGCTAGCAATCCATTAGTTAATAAAACATCATCAATCATTTTGGAAACCTGTGTCCCAAGCAGGGGTGAGTAAATAACTAAATGTGTCATGGAGGCTTTCCAAGCACAGATGTGGTAACTAACATAAGGTTCACAATTTCGAAATGTAAAATGAGTTACAATTTTTAACAGAAACCCCATTATACATATAAAGCTAACATTATTTAGCACTTTCTGTATTAAGCAAAATTCTAATACATGTGTTAATTAATTCGATCTTATATCAATCCTCATACAACCTATACGTTGTATACTAGTATTTATCCCTATTTCCTAGTGAGAAACCAACAGAGAGTTTAAGTTTGCCCAATGTCAAGAGCTAGTAAGTTGTAGAACCTGGTTTTGAATAGAGGCTATCCAGCTCTAGAGCCCATGGTTTTAACTATTTACAATGCTGCTTTATAATATTCTTAATAATGATTATGTTCTCAAAGGTTGCATATCTGCTACAGGAGCATGCATTTGATATGTTTCCTTAGGCCTAATACTGAGTTACTCTGTCTTGGCTGTGATTTTCTAATGTCATTTTACTATTACTTACATTTGCAGTTTTTATTACCTGTTTTTTTACATTATATCCCCAGTTTAACAAACAAAAAGATCAGTAACTTGAAAGTAGTTTACTAAAATATAAAATAAGAGATGAAAATAGTAAATACTATTATTCAGAATAATATAATTGTAAATAGTGAACAGGATTCCAGGGAAAATAGAGAATATGTGTCTCTTGGGTTGGGATAAGGTAAGTCTATGAATGAAATTTTTCTGAACAAGCAGCTGAAACAGATAAGGGAAATCAGTAAATACAAGAAATATAAAAACTTGGATTTTAACTGGTGAGCCATTCTAAGTCTCCCATTGATTGTCTTTTCTGAACCGTTTCAAACAGTAACTTAAAGCCATTCAAGTTATATTATTTTCAGACAAAGCAGAGTAACTTCTTGGGAAAGGAAACACATTTTTCTTTCTTTCTTTCTTTTTCCTTCTCTCTCTCTTTCTTTCTTTCTTTCTTTTTCTTTCTTTTCTTTCAAGATGGGGATTCAGCACGATGGCCAGGCTGGTCTTGAACTCCTGACCTCGGGTGATCCACCAACCTCGGCCTCCCAAAGTGCTAGGATTACAGGTGTGAGCCACCGTGCCCGGCATAAGATTTTTCAGGAAAAAGTATGTCGTCCTAGTGAAGGCGGGCAGCGGCAGGCCAGGGTCCTGGAGCCCCGGCCTGGGATGCTGGCCTGCGGCCGCACCCAGCTCCCCAGCACGCCCCGCCCGGCTGGCCGCTTGCAGCCCCGAAGGTCAGGGCGCTTTGTCTGCGCCGCAGGCCGCTTCCAGAGCAGCCCCGCAGAGGAGGCGCAGCCGTGAAGGAGAAGGCGGGTAGAGGCCTTGGCCACTCAAATCTCCCGCTCGCCCAGCCTACCCGGCGTGCCAGGGCGTGGTGGTTACACGGCTGGGCGTGCCCGGAGCGGTCAGACTTCCCGTTTTTAAGGTGGAGACGTCCAGGACCTCTTTATTAGATGTTTAGGAATTTGAGTTTTTACGTCAGGCGGTAGTCAACATGCGCCCCTGTGGGGCAGGCTGGGCTAACTGGGGTTTCGATTTTAAGTTTCCTATGGCCAAGGGCATGTCTGAAGGGGAAGAACGTTCTTGGTGTTGCTTCTTAGTTGTTGGGAGCTGTGAGGTGCGAGAGAGATGGGCGGCGTGCGCTCCCGAGGACTGGCCTCAGTGAGCTTGGACTAGTTACTCACGGGACTTGGTTTACCAGCCAAGGAGATAAAGACATTCAGATGGTGGATAACACTCTTTCAGATGGGGTTCCTTCAGATTCCATGGAAGGTGCTAAAAATGCAAGTAATACAGAAAAGCTCACAGATCATGTGATGCAGAATCCTTGAGTTAGGGCCGCTTTACAGGAACGACTTGACTATGCCCCTTACACCCCTTCCAGCTACATCGAAACTTTACCTAAAGCAGTAAAAAGAAGAATTAATGCATTGAAACAACTTCAGGTGAGATGTGCCCTCGTGGAAGCCAAGTTCTATGAAAAAGATCGTGACTTAGAAAGAAAGTGTGCAGCATTATACCAGCCTCTCTTTGACAAGGGAAGAGAATTTATCATCCGCGATGCTGAACCGACAGATGCGGAATCAGAATCGCACAGTGAAAATGAAGAGGAAGAGAAATTGGTAGGAGACATGAAAGGCAAAGCAGTCCTAACAGAAGCAGCAGCAGTAACAGCTGAATAGCCAAATCCCAAAGGCGTTCTAGAGTTCTGGTTTACCATCTTTAGAAATGTAGCTATGCTAAGTGAATTAGTTCAGGAATATGATGAACTAATCTTCAAAAACCCGCAGGATATTAAAGTAAAGTTTTCTGACCCTGGACAGCCTGTCTTTTGTGTGAGAGTTCCACTTTGAACCCAACGACTACTTCACCAGCTCAGTCCTGACAGAAACCTACAAGATGAAATCAGAACCAGATAAGGCTGATCCCTTTTCCCTCGAATGTCCTGAGATCGTGAACTGACAGGTGTAGTATTGCTGGAAGAAAGGAAAGCATGTTACTGTCAAAACTGTCAAGAAAAAGCAGAAACATAGGCGTCGAGGCACTGTTAGAACAATTACAAAACAAGTACCCAATGAATCATTTTTCAGCTTCGTCAATCCACTGAAAGCATCTGGGGATGGAGAATCACTGCATAAAGGTTCTGGATTCACATCAGCCTCTGATTTTGAAATTGGACACTTTTTCTGTGAGCCAGTGGATAGTCCCATGGGCTGTGCTGTACTTCACTGGGGACGCCATAGAGGATGATGACAGTCTTGAAGAAGGTGAAAAGAGGAGGAATTAGGAGGTGACAAGGGGGGAGAAGATGAGGATGATGCGGGAATTAACCCCAAGAAGGAACCCAGCTAGCCGGTGGAATGCAAGCAGCGGTAGGAAGCGAAGGCGGGCGCCTGGCCTACCGGCTACTGGGACTCCAGGCCTGTGGGCGGGGCTTGGTGTGGGCGGGGCCTCGGTCCTTGCCGCATCAACAGCTCTTCCATCTAACAAGTTTTCAAGGGCAAGATTTTCACTTTCACTTTTTCTTTTTCCTTATTATTTTGCTTAACTTGTACAGTGCCACTGAAATATGTTTCAGAAATGGGAGTTTTCATCCAGCACCCTCTGCTGCCTTGGTGCCGGTAGCTCTGGACTTGCCTGGGCCTTCCCCTGTGGGAGGGCCCATAGACCACATCGGGGTGGGATAGGGGTCACTTGGCAAAAAGGACCGAAGTCTGGTGATGTGGTTCCAGGAATCTAGAACCTCTCCTACCACTCCTGCATTTGGACTGATTTCTTCCCTTTCATTTGAAGAAACCGACTCATCTGTTTCCAGCCTGCGTCACCTGTTGGATGCTAATCATCTCAGAAGGGCTGTGTGGAGTAGGGCCGTGTTCTTAGGACGGTGCTTCTTGATTTTCTCTTTTTTAGGGGTGGGTTAGGGTTGTGGCACACCAGCTCAGGCTAGAGCTGCCGCAGGTCACCTCCTATTTATTTTGCCCTTCTTGCCTGTGAGGACTGCGGTCTTTCACTGTCGCTGCTCTTTACCATTTCTGCACCACCTTGGTGACCTGAGCAGGAAGATGTGCCACTTCCTAGCAGGAGCAAGGCCTGTGCGGAAAAAGCGCTGCTCCCTGCCACCTGGCTGAAGACGCCAGGAGCCTGTCCTGGCGACTCAGGCGCCGCCTTGCTGCTGAGCTGGCATTCTGTGGTCTTCAACAGTGAGGGGCTGGGCTGGGAAGTCCTGCGTTTCAGTTGAGCATGTGAGCGTCAAGTCCTGCTTTCTCAGTTGTTCCATTGCTGGGCCCCACCATTCATCCTGTCTGAAGGTCCTGGGTTTGGTGTGACCAGTCGGCGGCCAGCGGGTGGGGTTTCCGAGTGGGTGGCAGCGTTCCCCGGCAGCCGGGGATGGGCGTGTTTCACTGACCAGGCCTGTGGAGCGTGCTCAGCCTAACCTTGGAGCACATTTGTAACTGCATACAGTGTTTTCAATTTGTAGAGAATAGCTAGAATATGCTATTAAAGTTGTGAAACGTGGAGAAAAAAAAGAAAAAGTGCAAATGAGTTCCAATTTATAACTGATGTATTTGATTCCTGAAGACAGAGAAAAGATCAAACCCACAGAGGTGTCACTCAAAGGAGCACTGTTTGTACAAGTCACACAATTGCAAGAAGTTTTTAAAACTAGCTGCAAAGTTATAATAGTTAAGCGTGGAGCAAACATTCCTTTATTAATTCCACCTTTTGAGTGTTACATAATACCCAAGGCACACGATATGGAAATGTCATTTGTCATAAAAGCAGATAGTTGCTTTATAATGGGAACACGAAAAAATAAAACCAGTGTGCTTTTGCCTTTTGGTATATGTGTGCTGGATCTAACTGACAAGGAGAAAGAAGATGACCACATACAGGCAGAGCAAGCATATTGAAATCTTGAAAAGTTTTAAGTGTTCCAAGAGACAAAGTACTTGAAGGAATTAATTTCTGAATAAGATCCCTTCATAGAATTACATGGACTATTTGAGGGGATTTTCAAATCCCCTAAACAGTGTTTTGCCCTTGCAAAATTTTCACTTTATGTTTGCGGTTACAATTGAAGACACAAGTAAGATTATATTCCCTGTAGACAGTCTGGTGAAAGAGCATCATCATCATATTCCTCTCATTGATTTGAAATAAGTATCATTAATTTGAAAACATTCTTTTAATTATTAAATAATGGTGATTTGTCCTTCTTTTACATGTTCTTCCAAATTGATAGTTCATATCTATACAATAGAGTTTAGATGTTTGAGGAATGTTGCTTGATAGTTCTTGGGTGTTTAAATACTGCAGTAGTGTTGACATCTGAGACGTACATGTGGGCTTCTGACCCTGGTTTCTGTTAACCAAATGTTGGAGGACCTTCTCCTTTTAAAATGCAAACCAGGAGCTGAACTTAATGATCTTATTGGTTCTTTTGAACAACAGTGTAGGATTTTTTTTCTGTGATGATTTTTGAATGCATTTGTGTGGAACCACATGCACCATAACAAATACAACCCATGAAAGTATAACAGTTAAAGAGTAGATCTTACTTTTTCAGGTTTTGATTTCTCATCCAAACTTTCTGGTGCTTTATTAGTGAAGCAAGATAACTCACATTGACTAGCCTGCTCTCCTTTAGCAAACCCTTCCAAATAAATGCCTCATTTGCTCCTCCCCACTACTATTTTAGATCGGCCAGACAGTTCACCTTTTAAGAATGAGGAGACAGATTCAACCAGGTGGGGTAACTTGCCCAAGGTCACTTAAGTATTGGAGATAGAATTAAAAGATAGATCTTTGAATTCTAGAGTGTTTTTGTATGATACTTTCCTGACTTTCTATACATCTCAAATCAAATTTTAAAGTTTTCTTTGATTTATTCACAGGAATCAGCTAGAGAAACCCATACCAGGTAGATATACATAGATATTGGTCAGATGTAACTTAACTTTTTACTGCATTATCTCGTGTTTCTTGTAACATTTTGTCTAGTAGGACCTTTTTGTGGTTGGTGGTCATTTTAGTCATGACATCTACTGTCATACCATCACTGCAACCCAGAAATCGGGTGGTGGTGTTATTAACTAGTTAAACATAATTTAAGATTGAAGATAGAGTTCTTGTCCACCTCATATTGTATCGGGGGCATGAACTAATAACTAATATTTACTGAAGGCCTGCTCCACAACAAACTCCTGTAAATGATTTACATAAATGCATGACATTTAATCCACTCAACAAACTAGTGGTGTGGGTATTATAAAGGAGGAATCTGAGGCACAGTGAGGTTAGGTAACTTGACTGAGTATGCACATTTATTAAGAGCAAAGCCGGGATGTGACATCCAACTCCATCTGAACTCAAAGTACTGTGTCTTCCCTACCGTACTGGTGAAGTGAAAGTAAGAAGATGACTCAAAGATGTACAGTTATAATCTGGAATTTGGAATTTACTTCCTTTGGTAAACCATTTGAAAATTGCAGCTCAAGGCTTTGGGAGATGGAAGAAAGCTAGCAAGCAATTATTTCTTGCCTTTGTGCCATGCTTCCATGGTTTGCTCCTCCTTATCTCCTTATCTGCAGTCAGTGTAAATGGCGTGTCGGTTTTATGCCTGTGCTACAGATGTTCACAAACTTCAAGGTCAGAAAGCTGGTTTATGGCAGCACCTGAATATAGACGGACTTACACAGATCAGAAAATGGAGAAGTTGAGGGTAGGAGAAAATTCTGGATAGAAAAGAACATGGGATTGGGACCCCAGACCTGATTTCATTGCTTACCGGCAGTGTGAATGTGGGAGATTACATGGCATGAAACATCTGTGAGCTTCAGCTCCTTTATCCATACAATGGGGATAATAATACTTACTTTATAAAGGCTGAGGAAAGTAAATAAAATAACGTGGGAAAGAGTATTGATGATGGTTAGTCACTGTAGAATTGTTAGCTGTTATTCAGGATACAAGAAAGAGTTTCAAGAGAGGATGCTTGGTATAACATTATATACAAAATGGTTTAAGGAGGACAGTGTAGAAGAGATTGTACATTTGGCACTTAGGAGGTTGTTTTTGACAGTCCTTGTGAGAAGATGAGGGTAGGAACTATATTCCTAGGCTTTAAGTAAGAAGAGGGGTAGTCCAATAGGCCAGTTATGTATTTGCCCGTGAAAAGAAGAAAAGAAAATCTAAGTACGTTTGAGAGTCAAAGGTTATTTCCAGGTAAAGAAACCCAAGGACTTCACCATTCTCTCATAGATAAGAAGTAGGATTCTTATCTCTCATAGATATGAAGTAGGATGGGAAGAAGTAGGATGATTGTAAGACTCTCCACATTGATACAGAATTCTAAAGGGGAGCCCAGGAAAAGAGCACATTTTTTGAAGGGGTAGGCAAAAGGACATTCTCTAGAGTATCCGTTTCCAACTGTTGTCCACATTTATGGACCAAGAACATAAAAGAAACATTGTTCAGCTCCGACCTGAACTTATGCAGAACAAACATTGTTCTGAGTTCAGCTAGATAATCTTTCTTTCATAGCTGAGGTGGATATTACGTTACCTGCAGAGAGTAAGTCACTGAAGGGCCTTGAAGGTAGAGCCTCAGAAAAACACCCTTTGATCTTACCCCTGAGATAAATGAGAGCAATTGGAAAAAATTAATCATACAAACACAATAATATGGGGAGGTAGGAAAAAGGAGAAGAAGGAAAGAAATTCAACATAGGAAATAACATTATGTAGGCTGAGATGAAGAATGTTAAGAATATTTGAACAAAGTTTGAACCAGATGAAATGTAACTGGCAAAAACAGAAGTAGGAGAATTTTTGGACTGATTTAAGTTGATCTCTTGTGACTTTTATAGATTTCCACTGGGAAGGATAGTGATTAAGAATGTGCCCTTTCCTTTTAAAAATTGAGAAAGAAGGCTACGTGCAGTGGCTTATGCCTATAATCCCAACACTTTGTGAGGCCAAGGCAGGAGGATTGCTTGAGGACGAGAGTTCAAGACCAGCCTGGGCAACATAGGGAGACCCTATCTCTACTAAAAATTGAAAGATTACCCAGGTGTTGTGGCATGTGCCTGTAGTTCTAGCTATTTGGGAGACTGAGGTGGGAGGATCACTTGAGCCTGAGAGTTTAAATAAATCAAGTCAATAATTGATGATAATCCTGAGAGTTTAAATAAATCAAGTCAATAATTGATGATAATCTTCTAAAACAGAAAGCACCAGGTTTAGATGGGGTCACTGGTGAATTCTACCAGACATTTAAGGAGGAAATTATATAATTCTCTGTAATCTCTTTTAGAAGATAGAATAAATTGTATCAATTCTCTATAATCTCTTTTAGAAGATAGAAGCAGAGGGCATACTTTCTAACTCATTTTATGAGGCCAGCATTATTCTTGTGCTAAAGCCAAAGAACAGCACAAGAAAAGAAAACTAAAGACAAATGTTTCTCATGAACACACATGTAAAAATCTTCAACAAAATATTAGCAAGTTGGATCCAACAGCATATAGAAAGAATTATACATTGTGACTAAGTGGGATTTATTTCAGGTGTGCAAGGCAGGTTCAGCATATGAAAATCAATTAATGTAATCTATCACATTGACAAACTATGAAAGAAAAATCACATGATCATGCCAATAGATACAGAAAAAGCATTTGACAAAATCCAATATCAATTTATGATAAAAACTTTCGTAAACTAGGAATAGAGGGGAACTTTTTAAACTTGTTAACAAATGCCTACAAAAAAACCCTGCAGCTACCTAACATCATCTGTAATGGTGAGAAACTTGAAGCTTTCCTACTAAGACCAGGAACAAGGAAAGAATGTTCCTCTCACCACCCCTTTTCAACATTGTACTATAAACACTAGCTAATGCCATAAGACAAGGAAAGGAAATAAAAGTTATATGGATTGAAAAGAAAGAAAATTATTTTAGTTCTCAGATGACATGAATATCTATGTATACAGTCCAAAAGAATTGACAAAAAACCTCCTGGAACTAATAAAAAACTACAGCAAGTTTGCAGGATACAAAGTTAATATATAAAAGTCAATCACTTTTCTATGTATCAGCAATGAACAAGTAGAATTTGAAGTTTAAAACATAAGACCATTTACATTAGCACCCCAAAAATGCAATACTTAGGTATAAGCCTAACAAAATATGTACCAGATTTATATGGGAAAATCAATAAAACTGATTAACAAAATCAAAGATGAACTAAATAAATGGAGAGATATTCTATGTTCATAGATAGGAAGACTCCATATTGTGAAGATGTCAGTTACTTCTAACTTGATCTATAAAGTGCATTCCCAAGCAAAATATCAGAAGTCATTTGTGGATATCAACAAACTGATTTCAAAGTTAAATGGGCAGGCAAAAGAGCAAAATACTGAAGGAGAACAAAATTGGAGGACTGATACTACTCAACTTCAAGACTTACTGTAAAGCTCCAGTAATCAACATACTGTGGTATTGGTGGAAAAATAAGA